AAGGTATCTTATATTATTAGATATATTATTATAAAACATGCTTTAGTTAAGGAGTTACTGATACTTCAAGTGCAAAATGATGATATAAAACCTTGATAAAAATGCAGTTTTAAATACTAATCAGTGTTGGTAATGGCAGCAATACAGATGATGACGACAATGCAAATGAAAACGATAATGATGTGGAAGGCAAATTGTTTTGGCTCAGAGAGTGTGATCACAATAAATTAATATTATACATGGTTGGAGCACTGATTTTATGTTATAATAATTATATTTTAAAAGAACCATGTATAGTTTCATATAACATAGGAATGAGATGGTTAACTGAGATTTTAAAAGGGCATTAAGTACGTTGTGTTAATATATTTCAGATAGATGCAAAAACAATATAGAGTTTGTATGTTTATTTGAAAACATTGTACAGGCTAAAATAGTCTAGAATGATGAGTGTTATTGAGAAGGTAGACATGTTTCTCTATACTTTAGCTCTAAAAGCTTTACATAGAAAAGTTTAGGACATATTTCAACATAAACAGATATTTCAATGAAGTTTTGAAATTAGTATGCTTGCTAGTTGTTGATTTTATCAAACTTGTAGATCCATAATTCTCAACAACACCAATGAAAATTGTAATGAAGTTAAGATATATTACACATTTCAAGGTGAAAAATACTTTATTTAAGTTGTTAAATAATTGAAAAATATTACAAAAAATACTTGAAGTACATTTAAATTGATTCTGAAACTATTTCTTTGTTTTTGTAGAATTGTATTAGCGCGATTAGTGGAACACATATATGTACTTATGTATCACAAGCAAATCATATACCATTTATTGGTAGAAAAGGTGTACCAACTTAGAATATAATGATCGCATGTAACTTTAACATGTAATTTACATTTATTTAGGCTAGGTGGAAAGGTAGTACACACGATAGAAGAATATTTCATAAGGCAATTGACAATCCAAATATAAGATTTTCGAAGCCACTAGAAGGTATTGCAAATTAAAAAATTTAGGTGTTGTTCAATTTGAATAAATTTATTTTATTTGCAATATAAAATAAGTTTTGTACTTTCATTATCTTATTGTAGGAAAGTATTGTCTCGTTGATTTGGGATATCCAAATAAGTACTGTTACTTAGGGCCATATAAAGGTGAGAGATATCATCTTTCATAATTTCATCAATGAGGACAACCGCAAAGTTAGGAAGAAATATTCAACCTTGTCCATTCATTGTTAGGATGTGTAATAGAACGTATATTTAGAGTTTGAAAGAAAATGGGGAGAATCTTGCAAAACATGCTAGTGTCTCCTTACAAAACACAAGTTCATATTGTCATGGCATCAATGACACTGCATAACTACATTCGGAGGAAGTTAATCCAAGATGTTGCATTTAACGCGTTTGATCGTCATTCTGATTTTGTTCTTGCTAATACTTTAAGTGACGTGGTTCCATAAGCACAAACACGTGGGCAATAGATGACTTCAAATATGGATCATGTTTGTGATGGGATTGTAACAAGTTTGATGGGGAAATAATGTTGATTTTTTTAAATGAATATATTTCTTTTTATACCATTTATTGTTTGTACTAAATGTTATTTTTTTAATTAAAACAAACAATAAATTAATATATGTCCTTTTAATCATTTTCTATACAACACCAACCCCAACCATAATTTTAACCAAATATATCATGCCATGATTTTTGACAAAATAAAGTCAAACCACAATTTTAACCAAACACATATTTTATATAAACCAATCATATCAAAAGTGATTTTTTTAAAATTATTTTTTTCAAACCACAACTACAAAAATTATCATAAAAACAAATACATATTGTACTAGTTTCTACATCGGTGTGATGCATGGAGCTATTTTCAAATTTAATTTATTTAATTATATAAAAATAAAAATAAATATTCACAATACTCTAAAGATTTAAATTTTAATGGAGAAAATGTACTTTTTAAATCCAAATCTTCATTTTTTATTGTTATTTTTGTTTTGTGAAAAATATCTTTTATTATTTACAATGTAGTTTTTAGTAAGAAAAAAAAATCAAAGCCAACTAAAATAAATATTCTCAAATATGTCAATAATTTCAATTAATGAGTGAAAAAATATATTTTTGGAATTAAAATATTTACTTAAAATATAAACATGAAATCTCTAATCTTATTTGAAAAGTATAGAATACTTAAAAACGTTTTCTAGGTCTAAGAGATCAGGACTCCTATATATATATATATATTGAGTGATGTTCAATGCCATCCGCTCGAACCAGACAAAAATTACAGTCGACACGCGTTGTTGCCTGAAATAATTTTGAGGCCACCTACAGTTAGTATTTTATTACAAAATATGGGAAAATTGAATAATAAGAAATATTCAAAAAATTGTATCAATATTTTATAAGTGATGAAGTCAAAATAATTAATATGATAAAATTATGTAAAAAAAATTAAAAAGTTTTTAAAAATATATATTAGGTATATAATAATTAAAAATAAATTGTTAACATTCTTATAAAAATTTATAATATTACTAAAAAAAACTATAAAAAATTAAATAATAATTTAAATATCATATTTAATATTTTATTTATAACATATTTTAATAGAAATCTAAAAAATAATATTTGAAAAAAAAACAATAGAAAAAAACCATACACCTAATCCTATGAGATTGGTCCCTTTGCACCTAGCCTAAAACAAAAGTCTTAAGACATAATTAAGGGCCTAACCTAGCTTTTTTTATTATTATTATTTAAGGATGGACAACATTTCATCAATCCTTCTATTAAAATAATGCAAGGTGAAGAAAACATTAATACAAAAAATATTACAAAAAAAATTGAAAAAAAAAGTTTGGTGAACAATATAAAAAATTAAAAAATGATACGCACATTGACATGCCGGAACCTTGTAATTTATTAGTATTAGTATATGTCATTTTGACCCTATTAGTTTAATTGTATATTTAATCTCATGAAAGGAATAAAGAGTGATTGATTCTCATTGTATATTTAATCTCATGAAAGGAATAAGGAGTGTTCTTTCCTAATTTTCTAGTTTTTCTTTTTACTAATCTGGAATAATTTAGCTCAAAAAAAATAATTTAGAGACAAATTATTTCACTATATGCTAGTTATGAATAGAAAATAACAAAAAATGCAATTGCAATTTCATAATTAATGAAATTCAATGATATAATTTTGTAAATAACATAAACATAATAAGATTATTGTTAGAATGTCGTTCAATTAATTGTTTTTTTTTTAATTTTCAAATCATATTGAGAGAAGAATTTCTCCTAATTAATACATATACTTATACTTTTAGGTTCCTGAAATTATTTACTAAATAAATGTCCCGACGTATTATTTTCGTGCAAGTAAAGTTAAGAATATAACTCTAAAAGATGCAGTTTAATTGGTCAAATAATAAATTTGTTTTTTAAAAATTATTATTTTAAGTTTTATAAATCTTAAAATTACTTAAAATTTAAATATTTTTTAATTTTAAAATTTGTGAGATTAATTGAGAGTAACGTAAACAAGTCTGATATATATATTAATAATAATGATAAAAACCACCCAAAATGTGTCTTTGACCCTTTTGACAATTCAGATGGGAGACGCAAGTTTTATAATTTTCGTACGCATAACAAAAATCACCCTTACACTGTACACAATATCCATGTGAGATTTTGTTGGATTGCTACCAAATTATCAAATAATAATATTTACTTTATAACACTTCTCTAATAATTTTATAGTATTGCACAATCTTGTACTATTAAATTTTAATTAAAGAATATAATACATAGGTGACAGTATTCAAAAATTGCTTGTTAATTTGTTTAGTTAAATATTAATTAGGTGACTCGAACTTCGTTGTTGGCCGGATTAATTTTTTCTAACCCGTCAAATCTATTAATAGCTGGTTTCATTACTAATGGTGATAGGATCTTGATAAAGCAGGTTAAATCCAAACATCTTATTATTTAAATTTTAAAGTTTTGAAAAAAATTAGAGCGTACAAATAAAAAAAGGGGCAACAGCACACTTGTTTTGCACGAGCTGACTTTTCTAAAATTCCATGGCGAGCTGACTTTTCTAATGGGAAACTGCCATTCTATGGTTAAAATTACGAAAAAAATCTCAAAACCTCAAACTCCTATAATTTGTTAGCTCCGAGTTCAGGTGGCTTGGGCATGGTGTAACACTAGCCAGCTAGCACGAACGAGAGTTTCGAAAGAAGCTGGTCATAAATGGCTCTAAAAGTGAGACACGCATGGTAGTGCAATAACAAAATAGACAAGTCCTTGTTATTTACAAAGGGTTAAAGTGCCATGATCACAAAACTTCCAGTAATGATAGAAGATATCACTGGAATTAATTGAAGGATAAACCCTTATTTCGTAGAAGCCGTGCTTGTCCAGGAAGGATAACAACAAGTATATCGAAAGGCAAAGATCTTCAATACTTGGATCTGGAGAGCCATATGACTTCCTGAACAGCAGATGCAGCAAGCAAGAAGCAGCTCAAGAAAGTGAAGAAAATAGAGACAGCAACATGGTCACAGAAGCTCCGCAGAGGCTTGCAGAAATTTGGCAAAGCTGTGTGTCGGATTCCAGTGCGATTGAGGTTGGTGACTCCTGATGCAGCTGCCCCAGCGCTTATTGTTGCATATGCAAATACCTACAACTCAAAAGTTGATGAGACCTCAGTAGAGTAGTAGATTAATGCACGAGTTGAAACCAAATGCTTGAAGCTGCACGAGTTCAATCTTTATAAAACAAGCAGCACCCTTAAGTTACCAGTCAGGGTGACTTGGGCAAGCTTGGTGAGACAACTAATTTACATTTTCAGCTAGGGGAAGTAGCGCCAGGATATTTCAACAATGACAACTTTGGAAATAACAGCTTCAGAAAATTTGAGAATCATTTGTACTAGAATATTGGTATATCGAAATGGACATGGTTTTAAATTTGGGCTCACTCATAATGAGCTGATGAAGCGCAAACGGATGCAAATTCCGGGGGGCCTGATTCTTGCCAACCGTGTTAAACCTTTGCATGGTGATATCATAAGTCCTTAATTAATTTACGAGCTAGAAGTTCATGTGGCTGATAATATTGTAGTAGCTCAAGAAGCTATGCATTCCATTCGGAGGAATAATAGTAGAGTGAAAGCGGTAGCCACTTCAATTGATCTTGCAGAAGCCTATGATATGACGACAACATGTTTACCAAGAGATCAAGACCTTAAACTCAATTCTCCCATTCAAACATGAGGAGGCACAAATATTTGTCAGTTTCCACCAATACTTCTATGACATATTTGCATGGTGATATCATAAGTCCTTAATTTACGAGCTAGAAGTTCCTGTAGCTGATAATATTTTAGTAACTCAAGAAGCTATGCATTCCATTCGGAGGAATAATAGTAGAGTGAGACCGGTAGCCACTGCAATTGATCTTGCAGAAGCCTCTGATATGACAACATTTTTACCAAGAGATCAAGACCTTACTCAATTCTCCCATTGAAACATGCGGAGGCACAAATATTTATGTCAGTTTCCAACAATACTTCTATGACATTTTAATTGCCAAGGGCTTTTTCAATTGTGCATGCTCCATTTGCAACTCCCAGCATGAAAAGTGGAACTTCAATATGTAAAGAATGCACTATAGTCTATAGCTAGGTGGGATCAGTAAAGAAGACCCTGACTCGTTTTCAAGCTGACCTAGGTACCTTGTTTAGTAACATGAATCAGCTGAATTCTGTGGATTTTCAAGATCAGTGATAACCAAAGCATATAAGCCTTTTTTCCTGGTAACCAAAAAACTAATTGGACGAACAAATGAAAATTTCAGAATTCAGAAAGGCACTTTTTCTCATTGCAATCGAAACTACCGGGAGACTAGCAATCGGAGAGACAAGCAGATGCGTGCTTTTTAAGATATGCCTTTAAGTATATACCTGATCTCCTGCAAAAAGAAGCCATGCGTGAGTTCTTGATTGAATCACCGGAGATTTTCTAAGCAACCTTGGAAAGCTGATCAGCAGTTGCAGCAATGAGTGCGCTGCAACAACTGCAGAGACTCCAACCACATATCTGTTCAGCAGACCAAGACCCGATAAAGCAAATACTAAGAGAAAAGAGAAGGAAGAAAACAACAACAGTCACGGGTTTGATTCTGTTCATTCAAATGCCATGAGAGTGGAGGGTGGGAGTACCAAAAAATTTGTTTTTCCTGAAAGGGCAATTTCGTCAACATAAAATAAAACATGTTTTTTCAAACAACATGACAAACGAGTGAGGTCGTCAGACTCCGCTTTTGTCGGTCAAACTTGGAAAATTCAATTTAAAAAACCACAAATGAAGGGTCGAGCAAGAAAGGGCTCAAATTATTGCCACTTCATTGTTTGGTTACTAAGAAAATATGCAAAAATAAAGCAAGTAGAATCTGGACATTATCTTAATGACTATAAAATTAACTCAATGACAACGGCAAACTCATATGATTAAGAGATGTTTATGTGATAGCATATGATTTTTATTTGAAAAAATTTTAAAATAATATTTTTTTATTAAATTTAAAAACAATTTGAAAGCAAGAATGAATAAAAAAATCAAATAAATAATACCCTCAGTTATTTTCCTTCCACTTTCTGTTATTTTCCCTCAGTTTCCCTGCAACCAAGCAGCAGCAGCAGCAAGAACAAAAGGGGCGAGGGGCATTAGGGTAAATCTAACTTACTCAAATGAGTGAGAGAAGGACCACTTAGATTGAATAGGGAGCATGAAGCCATAGATGGAGACGGTACTGGACTGTTGGGCTGTGACCATGAAGGACAGAGCTGCAACAGATGTCACCATGCACAACACCCTTAGTAACACGTTCATAACTTCAGTTTTCCGGCCAAAAGGCCTCATAGCAGCTGCCGCTCCCCCTCCGGAAGCACCTACAAAGGGCCCCCTTGTGTTCTCAGCCACCATCTTTGACTCAGGCAGCTGCACTGCCACCTCTGGTGCTGCCATTTTTTGGCCATTCATCATCATGTTCTTGTGGGGGTGGGGGTGTGTGATGTTAAATTGTAAAAGATATGATTTAGGAGGCAATCAGGCAATAGACGGTCAAGAGAGAGGAGAGGTTTTTATAGGCAACAGAGGGAGGCAGGGTACTTTGTCTTCCTCCGCGGTTACTTGTACAGCGTGTGCTTAAAATGTGTTAAAAAATAAACATTTGTTAGGTACCTGTGATAGTATAATAGTGCATGACATTTTAGGGAATTTAGCTGCAACTTCCCCCAGCCACCACCCACCATTGACAATTAACACAAGAAAACAAAAACAACATTGTTTTTTTCAGATGCACTTCCTGTTCAACTACTCACTGATTACAGTATACAGTGTTTTTTTGTTTTTTGATATATGTAATTTCTTACAACTCTTAATCTCATCTTCTGATGAGTACTTTCTCCCATCCACCCAATCTTTTCCCTCAGCACTCTCTAGAAGAAGAGGCCACACACAAATGAGAAGTCGAATGAATCAGTTCTCTCCCTATCTCTTTTTTTTATCTTGACAACCAGATTTTATATGATGAATTCTAATGAAAGACTACGTGATTGACAAGGGCCGAAGGACAAAGCATCATGATCAAAATATGATATGTTGTGTATACAATTCAAGGACCTTTTGGGTCCTTCAGATTTGTGGAAACTAGTTGAAGATGATATATTGAACCATAATCAACAACAGCGTAAGCAACCCTGAGTGATGAGGAAAAGAAGAATCTTAAAGTACCTAGATGGAGAGATAACATGACTGTTTGTTTTTATATTTTAAAAATATTTTTGTTAAAAATATTTTTTTAAAAATAAAAAATATTATTTTAATATATTTTTAAATAAAAAATATTTAAAAAATAATTATTATTTTATTTCTATAATAATAGTGAAAAGATTTGTTTTCAATTTTACTAAGGGCATGATAAAGTTGTATTAGAGATGATGGATCCACCAAAAACTAAAAAGATGCATGGGAGATTCTCAAAAAATCCTGTAATGGCTTTAATTGGGGGGTGCAATCATAAAAACTATAACGTTGGAGAGCAAATATTTTATTTTTGGACATAACTTTTATGAAAAAATTGTAAATTTAAGGATTAAAATTAAAATTTAAAAAAAAATTGAAGACAATATATATATATGGTGCTATAAATCTGGTAAACAATTGTTGATGGTCTGCGCGTTAGGAAATTCTATGCATCTTCGTGAACTGAACCATCTATAACACCCCCAGCTAGTTAGAGAATGTTACTGTGGAGTCGATAAAACATCCATTTCTTTTAATGCACTGGAAGTTAACGAAATGAGGGTTAATTTTTCAAAGTCAAATGATCACCAACAGTTTTATTATACACAGTAAAGCTAATTATTATTTTTTTGTTTGGTTTGGTTTTTATCTAAAAACCTAATTAAAATTAAATTTTAAAAAATTAAAAAATTTAAATTGAAACTAAACTGAAATTGGTTCAAACAGATCGATTTGAGTTCAGTTCGGCTTTTTAACATAAAAATCAAAAAACTTATATTATTGTTTTTTGGGTTTTTTTAGGTTTTATTAGGCTTTCTAATGCCTTTTCTGATGGGCTTTCTAATAGACTTATAATTAATGTAAATATTATCTAATTTTGTTACAAAATTCTATAATATATTTAATATTTTTTGTCACTAAATATTTATTTATATTAAATTATTAATGCTAATATTGTGTTTAATATGTTATAAGTCTTTTTAATATTTGTGTTTTGGACTCCTCTTACATCAAAGTTTAAATAACACACATCAAATTAAAATTAAAATTACAAAGCATTGCCTTCAAATGGGCTTAAAAAAAATAACAAATAACATTGTCATCAAAAATAAAATACTGCATGAAAAAAATATAAATCTTTATTATGCACATCATCCCAATCAAAAAGCACATTAAAATGACAAGAACATTACACTTTGATTCCGTAATGCTATGGACATCAAAACCTAAAAATCAAGATCTAAAATTATAAGATGATATAATAAATTAGAATATTTAAAAATAAAAAGTAGTATTTTACCATCAAAGTAACTTTTGAACTAATTATCATTCATTACTAAATATAACTTTCCACCAAATTCTATAAAAAAAAATTAGATATGTTAGATGATTGCAAACAATTTAATTAATAAATTATAAAATAAAAGGTGCAAGTTTCTAAAAAAAAATTACTTGACTCAAATTTTTTAGATCATTTATCAAGCTTCTAATATTAGTTGGAATTAATCCATAATGCAACCAATTTTGATAACAAATGAGTATTGGAATAGTTGCTAGAGATAGAGAACTTCAAAATTGATCAAGTACACGACCACTTATGCTAAATGCTGATTCAGAAGCCACTGTGGATATAGAAATAGCCAGAACATATTGTGTAACCTTTGAAAGTATCTTATATTTCAAAGCATTACTTTTCCACCAACCTAAAATATCTAACTTATTATCATTAGGATCCTCGCAACCATCAATCAAATACCTCTCAATCTTATTTTTATTTTCCACACTATCCACCTCCTACAAATGTCTTTTGAATCAAGCCAAAATGTTAACATCTACCTCCACATCATCAATAGCATTAACATCTTGTTTATGCCTATTATTATCCATCACTTCATCAATTTTCAAATAAAAATAATACAAGCTCACCAAAGTATCTTTCACCTTATTTGTTAGCAATTGTGCTTTGTCATAATCATACAAATCACCAAAACAAAAATTCACATATTTCAACTTCAAACGTGGATCTAAGACATTAGCCACATATAACAAAAAATTTTGATTTACTTCACAACCCCAATACTTCTCAAACTTTAACATCATATTCATCGCCATTCCACTTAAAATACTATCTTTATTTTGACATAATTGCAACAAGTTTGTATATATGTAAATCAATTTATTAAAGAAACAATTTGAACCATAAAATCTAAAGAATTTGATGTGACATGCAATGAGCTGGAAAATCTTAATGTAACCATATAAAAGATCTTCAAGAATTTAACTAAAGTTCTTGCATTTTCTCAATCCTTTAAACTAAGTGGTCTTATGTTTCTTTTATTCCCTTTTGAATTAACCTCCAAAAAGTAACTCATATGCCTAGGTTCTTTTTCACCTAACCTCACAAACACCTTTTCAAACTTTTCAGCAGCTTCTAGCATAAGATAAGTTGAATTTCATCGAGTTGCAACATTTAAATACAATGATTTCTTACATTTTATTGCAATTTTTTAGCACACTTCTTAAATGCAAGATGCCTTGACGGTGAAGATCTCATAAACTTAACTGCATTTTGAATCTTAACAATTAAAACATTAATCCCCTTCAAGTCATCACACACAATGAGTTTTACAATGTGTGCACAATATCTAACATGCAAGTGCTCATTTGATAATATATTAGTTGGTCAATCTTTCATCACATTCTTTAAATATGAAATGGTCATATTATTAGAGCTTGCATTATCTAATGTAATAATCAATAAGTTATTAATCCCCTACTCTAACAAGCAATTTTCAATAACTTGGCCAATTGTCTCACTTATATGATTGGATACTTGACAAAAATTAAGAATTTTTGTATGCAAATTCCAGTTATTATCAATCTAATGAGTTGTTAAATATATATAGTTAATATTTTGGATTGATGTCTATGTATTTGTTGTTAAGCATAATCGTTGACCTCTAAGAGCTGTCATCAATCTATTATTCTCTTCAACATAAATTTTCAAACAATCTCTCATAATTATGAAATGAGAAGGAGTGTCAAATCTAGGTTGTATAGTCCTAGCAAACAATTTAAATCCCTGACCCTTTACAAAATTAAAAGGCAACTCATCAATTATAACCATCTTTATTAGTGTTTGTCTACATTCATCATAATTATAACCTATTGCTTTAAGACTTCCCACATTTTGGTTCTCCCAATTCACCCTTCTCTATCTTAGATTCTAATACCAAAACCTTTTGTTTCTTATCAACCACAAAAGGAAACTTCTTACATATTTTTAAATGACTCCATATATTACTAGTGTCATTAACTATAGTGTGACATGCATAATATTTTCCATAATAATTATATTCAGCTCTAAGGGCTTTAGGATCAACATCAAGTTTTGTAAAGTGATCCCAAATTTGTGACTTTTTTTTTATCATCAACATTTCTTTTCCTAGATGTAAGGACTTGAGATTGTTTACCTTTTGTATATATATGTGGAGGATCGTATATTGGTTGATTCTACTTTAGTTTTTAAAGTTGGAGAAGTGGTCAATGTTGGTGTGGTGCCTGTGGATAAATCATTTTGAATTTGAGGAGTTTCCATATGTTATTACATAATAAAAACATGTTAAAAACCCATAATTTCTAATAGACTTAAATGTACTAAAATTTAAAGAAACTATCAAACTAATAGAAACTTAAATGTCAAGCAAAAACCAAAAATAAAATGGAAAGTAATATCAGCCAAAACATTTACCAAGCCTAAGTTCATTGCCAATCCTAAGTTCATTATCATCTACCAAGCCTAAGTTTCAAATACACATTTCACACCGTCAAATGTCCTTGAAATTCTGATTAACAGTCTATTTCGAGATGTAATAAGAATACATTTACATCCTATATTATAAAAGCAACAGATTCTTAGTCATGGATAACAGTTTCGAAGACAATCCTAACAATGTCTATGCACAATGAAACATGCCTCCAAACATAATCAATTTCACAACATCTATATCTTTTCCTTCCAACCAACATCAAAACGAAAGAGGAAATCGTATAATGCTCTTCCAGAACTTAAATTGTAAACAATAACATGAAGAAAATAGCATCTACCTTAAAAAATAACAAAGATGGTAACCAGAAAAATTCAATAGCAGTTTCAATGCTCTGAAGAGACATAGGATGAGAAATCAATAAACAATCGGGAAACAGTAACAAAAAAAAAGTTTATGTAACTCCTAGGTACTAATATACCCTAATTTAAAAAAAATGATAAATACACATAAAACAAAGTAATACACTACAACAAAAAATAGCCTAGAAGGATTGACAAAGAACAAGGGAACAAAATACAAAAACAAAATAAAAGAACCAAGTAACTAAATAAAAAGAAAAGAAATAGTCTTCTATGACAATATCCTAGTGAGATTTACATCAAGAAAGGTAACTCGAGGAAGCAATAGAACAGACTTTATGGTATTAAACTAGCCCGTAGGTTGATCATGTTTTCTCTTCAAACTAAGAGTTTTTTTTTTGTCACATAGCTAGTAAAAAAAAACAAGGTAGCACAATTTCAAAAAATAATAGGAAAAATGGCATAGTTATAAAAATCAACCAAAAATACACATAATGCTTAAACTTTAATTTTTTTGTAAGGATATACCAACAAATACACAAAATCACAAAGCATATATTAAAAAATAAAATAAAAACAGAGATTGACAAAAAAAAAATCATACCTGGTTTGAGTTGGGACACGATTCAAGTTCGTGTGTGAAAGAAGGAGGGACTGGTTTGCTAGATTTGGACTTTGAAGGTTTGGTGTGCCGATGTGGTGTGTGTTATACGACTCGTGGCCGTAGGGGAGAGGGATGTGGCAGATTGGCTAGGTTGTTAGTTTTGAAGATGAAGATGGTGTAGGAGAGCCAGATAAGGATATGAATGAAGAATCAAAGATGGATTAA